TATATATAAGTTTAGGTCTTAATCTAAGCTTGTAAGCAACTCCTTCTAACAATTACTAAATACAGTATAAGAGGGGTTCTTAAAGCTTATAAAATAGGCTAAAGAGATACTACATAAAAACATCCTTATTAAGGCCTATGTATAAGAGCTTAAAGAGCAATTAGCAGTAATAACTAAGAGAAAATCGCGTAAGAGAAAGCAGATTTAGCATAGTGGCACACTTAAGTATGGCCTAGCAGCATCGCAGGTAGCTGCTGAGGCGTGTGTAGCAGCTTAGCTATCTAAGAAGACTTAGGGTAGAGGTGGTTAACTAGGAGCTTAGTCAACTGTTTGGCGCTGTAGGAACTGTAGCAAGACTAGACACAACGCACAAACGTGCTAGGAGGGTGCAGAAACATCTTCTAAATCTAATGCAAGCACACAGTATGCTAGGTCACTATTTAATAGTAAGTAGTTGTAGTTGCAGTAACTTGTGTTAGTTGTGCTAAGAGAAAATGGCTAGTTCGGTGATATGGCCAGCTTGGTGATAATCTACGTTATATAAACCTTACTTTCGTGATAGGATAGATAACGTAGATTATCACCGAGCCGGCCATATCACCGAACTGGCCATTTTCTCTTGGCACAACTAACACAAGTTACTGCAACTACAACTACTTGCTATTAAACAGTGACCCAGCATACTGCGTGCTTGCATTAGATTTAGAAGATGTTTCTGCACCCTCCTAGCACGTTCGTGCGTTGTGTCCAGTTTTGCTGCAGTTCCCACAGCGCCGAACAGTTGACTGAGCTCCTAGTTGACCACCTCCACCCCAAGTCTTCTTAGATGGCTGAGCTGCTACACACGCCTCAGCAGCTACCCGCAATGCTGCTGGGCCATACTCAAGTGTGCCACCATGCTGAATCTGCTTTCTCTTACGCGATTTTCTCTTAGTCATTACTGCTAATTGCTCTTCAAGCTCTCGCACGCGGGCCTTGATAAGGACGTTTTCGTGCAGCATCTCTTCAGCCCCTTTTACAAGCTTTGAGAACCCCTCTTGCGCTGCACTTAGCGATTGTTGGAAGGAGTCGCTTATAAGCTTAGATTGAGACCTAAACTCGTGTGTATTGCTTGGCGTCTTGGATTGCCACGGCGTTTTGGGTAGAGGTACTGCTGGTGGGGTATGCAGCCGCACTTCAAGGCAATCTAACACCACCTGCGCGTTAGTAGGAACAAGCCCTAATACCTTAAAGGCCTTTTAGCAGTTAACCTTTGTAAACATATTAAGGAACACGTCCCTAAAGGCTAGTAGGAAGCCTTCCTTGTTAATGTGGAAGACGCGTTGGTGTGCTAAGTCTTAAACACGTTAGGAGTACTTGCGCTTTAACAGCAAGAAACAGACCACGTTAAGTGGCTAGAGGATGTGCAATAAGTGAGGTGGCATGCAGAGAGTAAGGATTTAGTTCTCTAGGCAATAGTCCTTAAACTCCTAGTTAAGATGGCTCTTATAGCCGTCTAAGATAAGTAGCCTGTACACTCCTACCTAACGCGTCTTTGTATGCGTATTAAAGTGCTTTAACCACTTAAGGCTAAGCGTGTTGTTTGTCCAACCGTTCTCAGAGACTGAGAGCTTCTAATTGTGGGGTATATCTGTCTCCTCATACTAGGCAGAGATGTGGACGCGTCCTTTGTAGATGATGAAAGGCAGGGTTGCATACCCAGCGGCGCAGATGCTCTGGATAACGGTAACCCACTCGCGATCACCTGGCTGAACAAGCTCTGGCCGAGCACGTCTCTCTAAGCCTGTTACAACCTTTGAAGACAAAGCGACGCCCATCTAGAACCTAGTTTTATTAAAGTTGTGCACGTTGTTGTTGCAAACACTATACTTGACTTAAGTATCCTCTACTAGCTTAAACCACGCGCTAATTATCTCAGGATCTTCCTGTAGTATCCTCTGTCTATCCTT